TACTTACAGTCTTTGAGTCAGAACAGCCGGCATTGTAGTCTACAGTCCTCCATAACGAAACACACAGCGCCTTCACGACATGGTGGCGGCGGCAACAACAATCCTACAGCGAGAATAAAAGTTATGCCTTCTTTCTTTGCGTGAACATTTGGGCGGTGTTATGCAAATCTTCCCACATCGTGACGTAGACATGTGGGAGTGTGTTAGAAGGAGCCGTTTTAGGTAGGTGTGGACTCTTAACTTTTATAAAGAATATCTCTTTGGATTTGAGACTTTAGTCTTTGCAACTTTACAGATCTTCTTTATGCACCAAGAGCTTGTAACACTCCAAAGAGAAAGGACAAATTGAAATTGCATCATATGACCCCTTTAAAGATTATCAAGAATTATTTTTTTTCCTATCTGCAGTCTAATAAAAGTTAAGAAAAGTAGCCTATAGATCTATAGCCTACAGGCTAATTTCATTCTAACTTCTTCTTAAAATTTGTTATGAAGAATTTTAAATCAACTTCATAACAAATAGGCTAGGCTAATGAATTTTCGTCATAAGCAATATACAAACATAACGAATACCCTAGCTATTCTATAAAATTCAATTTTCATACAAAAAAATCATAAATCACGAATATGATGAAATAAAAAAAATATTCATATATATATATATATATATATATAAATTAATTATATATAATAGTTTTAAGCAAATGGATAAGGAAATTACAGTGCCTTGAATTAATTAAGTAATGTTTTATTTCGTTCTAACCTGTAACTCGGGAAATGTAACGGGAAAAAAAGCCTATCGTTTTTACTTATAACCAATTCATTTTTAAGGCCTGATTTTAGACATACATGAGATAATATATTATTGTTTGACTAAACATTTAAAAATAACACCTGAAATGTTATAATTAAGGGAATTAAACATAGTCCTATGCATTTGAAAATGCATAATGAAATGTGTATTTTTCAAGCAATAATTCCAAAAAGAAAGAGAAGCATCGGACTTAATGCAAAACATATTCAAAACACATTGCTGTAGCGTCTGGACCAATTAGACACACCATTTTTCATTTTATATAACAAATCAATTATTCATTAGATTAACAAACATTCACAGACCCCTCACCCAATTAACATACTTTCCATTCACCAAAGATCCTAGGATCTCAGCTGATGTCTCTCTTAGCTCTTTTTCACTTTCCACTGGGAAGAAACTCCCAATCACCATCGAGTAAGAACATCTTTGGAGTTCATCACTCTTCAAACCTGGAAGAAGGTGATCGCGACTCCTATACCACCGAACCTCCAAACCATCAAGACTTTCATCTGAGACTGCATCCGTATGCTCGTTCCAGGCCAAGGCAATGCAAGTATCGTTCATTTAACTAAACGAAACAGAGGTTTAGTATAAGTTGTAGACCCCATTCTAAAATGGCGCTGATGGTTTTACTCTTGTGGTTAACTGACTTTTTTCATACCTTCATTCTCTGGTTTTCCTGATGGTTTCATCCATCCTTGGATTTTTTTTTTTGCAATCCAAGATGGCGGCGCGGTCGGATGCAGCGGCTACTCCGGGTCCCAAAAACGGTGTTTTTATGTCTGTTAGTCTCGTTTCCTCGTCTTCAAACAGTCTCATCTTATCGCAAAATCAACAGATAAACACTCGGAAACACATCTATGATCGACAGAGCCTTCTGGAAGCAGCAGAATGACAATAAAGCTCAACTTGACTTGAACTTGACTTGATCAAGTCTCATTTACCCTTTCCCCTGTATGAGTGATTGATTGTTTGTTTGTTTGTAAGACTAGTTTGGGTTAGTGTTTAGTTAATAAAACTCTTGTGCACAAATTACATGAGTTTCTGATTCTGCCTTGCAAATTAATTGTCCCTTTACGATTTTGATCCTTACTACATCCTCTAATGCATTAATACTGTAGGAAAGTATTTTCTGTAGCCACGGAAATATTTAACTTACACTGAATGTTCGCTGGACGAACAGATTGGTTGATGGCAATTTAATTCTGCTTCAGTTACTACTGGCAGCTGATATAAATAATTGTAATTAATCATAATTAATTGTAATTATTTATATACATTTCCCTTTTGAGCTAATTGGCTACATAATTGGTGGAGAATGCAGGCAATCGTTTAAACATTATTTGCAAGTGGACTCAGTATAAAACGTGTGTGTTTGTCTCATAAATTGTATTAACGTCTTACACATGCATACCAGCTTCTGATAAACTCAGACGATAAGAAACTAACCTGATTTTAGCGAAGAAATCCTAATTTCTGTTGTTAGTAGAGTGTAAACCTTATCTGACGAAGAAATCTCAGATTAGCAGCCCATATAAATGGTACCAGAATAAATTAATCTGTTATTGGGCGAAGAAATCCCCACTTTCAGTTTTAAACGCATAAATCTTTAATCTGATGAAG